TGCTTTGTCATCATGTTTGTCAACAAAAATATAATTACCATGCTAACTCCAGTTAGCCTCTGCTGAAGAGCCAGATGACTGTCCAGTAACGTTAAAAATCTGTTTTGCTAGAGCATGCCAGCATCCAACTAATGTGTATACCCGTGTGTCATCTGCAAAGGAGTCCCAGGGAGGAGATACCTAGTGTGCCACCAGCCGTGCTCCCCTCCACTGGCACCACTGGCACACTCGGGTCATCAGCAGGGATTTGCCTTCCTGTGTGACACTGGGAGACGAGGCTGGATGGAAAGGGGCAACAGAGGTACCCCGTGGACATTTTGGCCAAGCTGTTTTATTAGTGGAACAGAGCTGGGATGTTTGCTCCTATCCTTAAGAGACTTATTTTAATGCTTACTATGATATCATAGCACTTACAGATCCTGTTGGGAACAGGCTCACATCAGTGTTACAACAAAAAGACAGGTCCTGGCCTGGAGAATTTGCAACGTGACAGAGATTAGAGATGGAGGATAGGGATCAGTGGCCAACAGATGGAGCAGCAGAAGAACAGAAGGATGCTGAGGATACTTTCAGTCGATGCCTTAGCTGAGGAAGAGGAGTGGATGGGTTTGGGTAGACACCACACTCGTTAGCAATAAGAAAATGCACAGAGGGGAAGACAAACCCTAGCAAGGACATCAGAAGGTCCCCAGGGTGGTAACTCCCCTTTAAAGATGGAGCAGGATAGTATGGCATGTTAGCCTTAGACATTAGTCTGATTTAAATACTTTATGTAAAACACGCTTGAAAAACACGGGCCTAACCCCACTCTCTGATCAGAGCGCTCATCGATAAGAGGCTTTAACCCCCTTCCAGATCAGACTGAGGCCTTTCCCGCATACCAAAGCACGCAGACGTGCGGCTTGCAAGGTCAAGAGCAGTCAGTTCAGATCTTAAACTGCTTCATGTGCATGCAGAGATTCATTCTGGATCTTCTCCAGATATCATATGCTCAAGAAAGTGGCAGTGAGTGGGCCCAGGCTGCTGTTGGCAGCTAAGCAGGTGATGGCTCTTCTTTGCCAGTAGAAGTTAGTGTGCAGTCAGTGGTGCAGCATGCAGGCCATCAGCTATGTTTATGCACCTAAACACACATACTCACTATGTGTATATGCATTGATATGAAGGATCAGTTGAAATTATGTATTATTCCATATACATTGAAACTCAAAGAGATTGACCAGAGAGGCTTTTTGCTGAATTTAGCCCTGAAAGCCTATTATGTACCACTGTGTGGATGTTATAGTAAAAGTACTGAACAATTGCAAACTTTCTGATATACTTGGGCCTGAAGGCAAGTGTGTAAAAGGTTTTCTGCCTTCCAAAGAGCTGACAACTGCGGCTGTTGTGGGCTATAATGGAAGCTACAGGTCATCAGCAATCAGCCCAATTTGTCTTAAAATGCCAAAGGTGGGCTTCAGACAGGAGGCTTAGGGTACCTGTGATTGCAGCATGGACTTGCAGTGGAGGTAAGGCACAGACAGGGACAGGTTACCAAAGGAGCTGAGGGAAGAAACAGGAGCAATAGGGAGAGCTGTGGCACCAGATGAGTGGTCTGACCACAGAAACAGCAACATAGGTAAGCTCTGCAGTAACTGCAACATGAGCTGACAGAGCAGATGGTCACCTCAGCTTAGCCTCTAACATGGCTTGTTGCCCCCAAAATATTTACCCAAAAGTACTCTACTGATGATGATGGGATTATGTAGTGGACAGAGGGAAATCAGTCCTGTTTTGTACAAGATAGAACTGTGCTGCTTATCAGCTTTGACAGTCCCTTCATGTGCTGGCTTTGACTTGGGCAGACAGAGTGATGTGATGATGTACAAAACCACTTCTGGGACAGCTTCAGATGGTGGAAACCAAGTAGCATCTTCCCAGTCCCCCAACTTTCTTGGAACTTTATTAACTCACTCCTCAGATCTGGAAACTTGGTGAACTGGTAAAATGTCAAACTCGTTTCCCCAGGTCTGAAATGACCTGGGAGCTGTCAGGACATTTTCACCAGCTCCTGACCAGTGCTATTTGGGCATAATCTTGACCTGCTTCAAGGCCTGAAGGGAGAATTATTTCACTAGTTTGTGAGAAGCACTTAGAGATCCTTCAGTGAAAACTGAAAAAGAAAGGCAAATACTGTTATTTTCATCCCCAGAATACAAGGTAAAGAACCATACTGAAGTAGCAATATTGATATGTTGTGAAGTGGATTAACCAGAGGACAGAGAAATTCTGCACTGGAAAGTGTCCCATATTTGAAAGGCCAGAAATCTACAAGCACTATGTGTATCTCAGCTCACATATTTAATAAATATTGTCTCAACTGCATATGTTTACTTATTTTTATTACAGAGCAAATTGCTTGTATTTCCTTCTCTTTCGTCTTCAGTATAGCATCAAAGCAGGACAGCATGCCACACAACAGTATAAACAAACAGCGTCACCAAATACTTAAGGGTCTTTAGCTCCTGAATTGTCTAAAGCATAAATACAAACTGACGTCAAGCATTTGGGATTACCATTTAAAAATCACTGTTTTCTGAGACAGGAATGAAGGCCATTCACACCAGAAAATCCAGTGGCTACAAAAGGAGGAGTGAGACACCCAGACTCCAGAGTAAGGAGTTGAGGAAATGGTCTGCTTCTCTGGGAATAAAAAACCTGCCAGTTTGCTTTAGACCTGCGAGAAGTCCCAAATACAGAGAACATGGGAGAGCTGCTTCCAACCTGTCAAGCTCTTGAAGATTTGGGAATGTCGTTGTCACCACCAGTCCTCGCTCTGCCGCCGTTACCAGCAGCACTCGTATCACCCTCTCTTCTCATCACAGTCCCCGTACGGTGGCAGCTCGTCCTGGCCGCGCACTGGAGCTGAACAGCACACCTCGCACACCGCGGTCTGCCGTTGTGTGACCTGCTCCCAGGCTGTGACCAGTCACCTTCCACATTTGGTCTCTAGGGTATCCATTAAGTAGCTGAAACTTTAAACAAGATTCTCTCAAGTAAGATCATAAGCAGTGATGAAGCTTATATAGGATCTCACTCTCTCTGCCTCTTAAAACACGACAAGCGTTTTCACTGGAACCCATGGAATTAAGAGTACATTTTATAAGGCAAAATGCATTCCTGAGTAGGTGTTTGTACTAATTCGGGTGCCGACGTGGTATAGCCACATGGCAGCGTGCTCTGTGGGCCAAAGTATTCCGCTTCTCGGCACAATTAACTTAGCAGGATGGAGCACGGTGCTGTATGGCTTTTAGTACCTATATTGGCTTAATGAGCACTAGCTTGCATTTCTCTAGGTGATGTATTTTTCCACAAAGATGCAAGTCAGGAATCTCCTCAGGAAAAAGAAGACTAGAGATTTTAAACATTGCTTTTACTTCAGAGTAAGTTCAGGCCGTCATATACTTTGGGGCAAGCAGACAACTTTTGCATTGCTGCAGGTAGTGAAGATCTCAGTGGGAAAGCAGAGTTTTGTGTTTGAAGTGGTGCCTTTGGACACAAACCAGCCACTGCATTCCCAGCCACTCCCTAGGACTTCTGTCAAGAGAGTACTTTTTCCTTTGGCATCTGTGCTAACTGACCAGGGGCCAAAAGCGGAGCACGTACTGGGGGCACCACCTGCTTCTGTAACTTCCCTCTTGTTGACAAAGCTGTGAACCGAGTGGCCAAACCCTTGACGGAGCAAACCCTTGCTATCCTTGAAGAAAGAAGCCATTCCACATGGTACAAATTCACTATCATGCCTGTGGATGACTTGCTAGTACCAAGACTGAAGCCCAGAGTCTTACAGCTCTTAAAAACAAAGTTCCCCTGCCCAAGTGGAGACCGACCTCTCTTAGCGTAAAACCTTGAGTGGTGCCAGGGCCCCTGGGCAGCAGCAGAACTTGCTCCATTCCCTGGGGCAGGAGGTGGATGGGAGGGAAAGCCCCTTCCCCAGGGGCTGGCTCAGGACACTCTGAGGGGATCTGGTGCAAGTAGAGACCATTTGCCAAACAAGGACAATGCTCCTGAGGTCTCACCAGCTCTGTGACCCTACTTGGTTATTAGGTCCCAAAGCAGCTGGGCGAGGGGATGCACAGTGGGAACAGCTTCTGGTTTAGCAGGAGCTGCACCAGAGAAAGAAAGTTCCTTCTACAACAGGGCATGGACCACAGAAGGATTTGGTAGCTGCTGACATGCAGGAAGGGGAAGAGAGTAGTCTCCTCAGATGGTTCTGCTGCAGTTTGCGGGCAGATCTGAAGCAAAGAACTCAGGTCTGCAAGCCTCCCCTTTGAATACAGGGCACGTTGCATGTATTCAGGGCCCAGGATAAACTAAAACAGAAAAAAATTTGGTTTCAGTTCACATCACAGTGGTGACTCATGTTTTATTCATAGTACAGAAAGGGCAGAAGTTCCCGTGAACGAAGAAATCCCCTTTCTGTGCAGGTTTCAGAAAACCAGTCAGCAGCAGAGCAATGCTATTGAACTCAGGAGGACTTCAGTCACACGCTTTGTAATTCTCAAAGCAGTTAATGCCCTGCAGCCTTTTTTTACCTTTTATAGTCACACGACTAGTCAGTCAAAACCTTGACTGGATTACTCTGCTTTAATTACAAAATGCACTCAGACCAAAGGTGCAATAGTACCTGGTATGTACGCACACATTTCTCTCAATTATAACACTAAAGACCAAAATATGGTCTGGTCCTGCTGTAAAGCAACTGTTTCCCTCTGGCAAGATCTTTGCGAGTATGAACAGACATCACAGTAATGCTTGAACTGCCTCTGGTGTGCAGGACACCAGACTCTGTATTTTATCGTGTACTTTGAGATCCTTTAGGGTGGGCTGTACAGGAGATAAGCAAGAGAAGGGAGGCAAAACTGGAACCCTGGGGTAACTGGAGTCCATATCCCACCACCCACCAGAAAAGAAAAGCAGCGATGGGCCACTCTCTCTCCTTGCTGTAGTTAGGACAAGGTAGATAAATCACAACGTTTTTTTATTGCTGGTGAACTCAAAACAGGCAACTTTAATCTACTGAGGAACATACACGTACAAACAAATGTTAGGCCTTGTGCGTTTTTATCTTCTTAACGTAAATGTCTCTACAACTTCAGTCCAGCTCCCGAGCTCTCACTGAGCTGCCACTGAGACCCTGGTAATGTGCTCTGGGCACTTCCATAAGATGTTATAAGAAGCATCACATGTATTAAAAAGGGAGATTTTGCAGAAAAGACAAAGCTCTGTCTGCAGCCATGTTGCTCAGAAAGGCAAAGTCTGGCTAATCCTGCTGCATTAGTTACATGGAATTAGGTACAAATATTTGAATTTATTTAAGAATTTGCTGGGTCCCTTTCTGTTTCTGGTGTGCAACCTGCAAGTAAAGTGCACTTCTGGATATAAATTACCACTCTTTGAAGATGCAATAGCTGGGTGGTACACATCAGAGGAAAGCAGACTACAATAGCTGTTACAATGGCACAGGCAAGAAGAATAATGGAATAAGATACTAGATGCTGCTGGGAAACCTCTCCATAGTTTGAGCATCTAAATATTACATCACTGAGCAAAACCAGTTTAATTTAGTGGGGACCTTCTGAAGTCAAGACACACGACTCTTACTGTGCACCAGGTTAGCTCTGTAGACAGCCACTCCTCCTCCCCTAGTCCCAGCTGCAGCTGGGAATCACCAAATCATGTTGCTAACTCCTTTTAACCTTTTCTAAAGAGTATTGTAATACCTAAGGAGAAAGCAGGGATCCTAAGGATGTTTCTATGAAGCTGAGGGTTTCAGATGATGCAGGGGTGATGTAGGAGGCAGCACAACACTGCACTTAAGCTATGCTGTGAGAGGACAACCCAGCTTTGGACTGTTTAGTGCCCCTGACAGAACCAGGTCCAAAATGAGATCCCAACTCTCACCTACACCTTGCAAGTCTTGTTCTGGTCCAATAGAGCTCATCTGTATTATCCCATGTACAATTCTCATCTCTTCTTTTTTCCCCAGGTACAGGGTCAGGTGACTCTTTCATCTGGGTCTACACACCTGAGGCCATCAAGGCTGACAAACTACATACTGTTTCTCTGATTTCATAACACTGGCATCACAGCATGAAAAAAAAAGCTGTTCAGTGTTTGTTCTCTTTTAATTTAACGAGCTATAAAACGGGAACTCTAAATACCCACCTAAGTATTCTAGGTGCTTCAGGAGACATTGTGTACCCCAGGGCAGGTTTGATTAACTCCTTGCTGCCGGTGTTTTCATGTGTCCATTGCCAGCAACGGATGCCATGTGAAAAGGGGTAGGGGAAGGATAAAATAATTACACTCCGTGTGATCCAAAAAAGGATTAACACTGCCTTCATAAGAGCAGAACCACCAAACAATTCCCCTCACAGGGCCAGGAGTGCCTTTCCCCCCCGGAATGGACACCCTGGGGCAAGGAACAGCTTCACAGCTGAGCACTCCTTGTCAGAGACAGGGGACCCACACGGAAATAGCCCAGCCACTTCCAATACAAGAGTGGAATCCTACAACACGTTTGCGTTTCAAGCCAAATTGATCCCTGGTGCAGCTCTGTTGACTATGTTGGAAGAAGACCTAAAATTAATCTGGCCCTACAGGGCAACTGCAGCAAACCTTCCCCATGAACCAGTTAGGAATGAGATACATCGTGACAGCTAGAAGCTCCATATTTGTTGCTAATTTCAAAAGCTAAGACTTGCCAGAGCAAATTACGAAACTGTGACTGTCACTATCAAGTACTTTCCCTGCACAGCAACTTTCCCTGTACTCCTCAAATGTCCCCAGTAGGTTAAATTTCAAACTGTCCCTGGTGCAGGTAGTTCCACCACAGAGCCACAGCACTCCGTCCCACTCCACCTCTCCACTGCTGCTCTCACCTCCCAGCACAAAGCCTCACTCAGGCAGAGCATGAAGAAGTGCTCTTCAGAGAGGGTTTTTTTGCTTTACTTTTTGTTTGTTGCTTGGTTTTGTTTTGTTTTGTTTTAAATACTGTATCAGGCAGCATGGCACATCTCTTGCTGCCTCAAATTATTGTCATGACAATGTGGTTTTGGTTATTTAAAGCAGAATTTGGGAAGAAAAAGCAAATCCTCTTGAAACACCGAGAACACTGGGCAGAACTGAGCCAAGACCTGCCAGTGCTGAAGGAAGGTGAGAGTCAGTGCCAGAGGACCAAATCCTGGACACCATATTAGATACATGAAGATTTTGACCTTCAAATACAATGGGTTGCAGCCAGACTGTCATCAACATCACCATCACCAGAAACAGAGGAATCCCTGGGAAGAAGGCAGAAAACTCTTGTGGCCTGTACAGTCTACAAGATTTGCACGGCTGAGATGGGAGCTGGAATCTGCAGCAGACCCTTCAGCAAGGTCTGCTTTGAGGGGACAGAGGAGACGGGAAGACTTATGCTATTTCTTGTGCCTTTTGCCAAGATTCAGATTGCACAGATTATGGTAAAATTCACTTGGCAAAAAAGGCCTTTATTTAAAAAAAAAAAAAAAAAAAAGGAAAAAAAAATTTATAGGACTGAGATTTCAAAAAGTACAAGATCTGTATAAATTCAGCAAGATGTCCAGCACCAGATTATTTTGTGGTGCAATAAAGAACCTGGGGAGAGGCCAATGGGACCTCATGAGGGGAACACCATCTACCTCCCCAACAGACTGCCAGTCTTAGGTTCTTCTCAACAGCAGATGGATTTTCCTTGTTCCTGCAGCATCTCAGGTCCCACGGGAGGTATTGGTTGCAAGCAAGCACCTGAATATTGCCTAATGGAGTAAGCCAATCACTAACTTAGCTGGCATGTCCATGCCCATCCACTAATTAGGTTTTTTCTTTTTTTGATGCATTTCCATCGTATCATTTCTTTATCTTCTTTCTCCACATAGAAGTGTAAGCAAAAGGACTGCTTTCATCTGTAATAAGTTAAAATCAGAAACGACCTAACTAACAAGTAACTGATATTGGTCCTTGGAGCCCAAAGAGTAAAATCCATAGAAAATCTATTGGTTCCATTTTTTTTTTCTGGTATATCCCATGCACACCCCCATTAGAAAAATGGGGTTTATGAATCTTATCATACAGCGAGGAGCAGTACCTCAGAGCCAGAGCTGGCAGTCTGTGGTAGAGGCCTGAGCTCTCTCAGAGTGCTAAGTGTGGTTCTGAGTCACTGCTCAATCAGTCTTCACATGGCCGTTGGCCAAGGCAACGGGGACGGTGGGGGCCCCCGGCTCGGCAGTCTCATCAAATCTTAAGCGCAGGGTGTTTCTGATCACCAGCTGCTCCATGATGAAAGAAGCACAAAACCATGGGATGGCATACTCCAGGGTGATCAGGCCCATGAAGTCAAAATCAAACTGGGAATAGTCCCATGGGCAGGCATTGAACTGGCGTAGGATGAGGCCGGTGGTGAACTCCCAAAGGTATGTCCAAAGTGTGTAAATGAAGCAGCGCACTAAAATGTTACACTTGTCTTTGAGATACAGATACATCTTCTCCACAATGAGGATGGAGGTGCCATAGATGAAGAGTGCCCACACACTGGTTACACCTGGGAACTTCCAGTTAAAGTTGACCACGAACTCCCAGGCAGCTGTGAACATCACCTCACAGAAATAGCCGTGAATGGCGTAGAGGTACCATCGGGAGAAAGCGGTCAGAGGTTCTGCCGCAGCCATTCTTCTGCACACACCCCAGCAGGCACTCTGAAAGGGAGTGAGAGACAGAGAGAGAGGGGAGTCAGTGAGGATGTCACAAATCCTTACCCCCCAGATGGCAACACACACAAAACTCGTTAACATCCACAAAGGGCAAACCTGAGGAAGAAGTGCATTTTAAATTGTCTCGTTTTTACTGCAGCAAATTTTAAGTCAAGTGGAAAGGGGGCATCTTACTGGGCTCCGAGTCTCAGAATGGGCCCAGACCCCGTACACTGCTCTGCCTGAGAAGCGGGATGCAGCTGGTATCACACTGGAGATAAGGAGGGAGCTGACAGGTACAAGGGCTTTGCCAGGAGTGAAGCTGCCAAAGAACTTGGTGGTTGCAAGTCAGTAGTAAAATACAGTCACCTCACAAGGAGCACACATCACCTTTTTGCTCTTTTCAAGAAACAGCACTGTCCCCTCCTTTTCTGATTCTAATATGGAATAGACTAGATGAACACAACATTGAAAGCCTGGGCCCTTCCAGCTGTCACCTACAATCTCTGTGCCAAAATGTTTACTGTAGTGAAAAACTGATCTTTGGTGGGAGCTACAGAAAGGGAACTGGAGGAGAAAGTTTCAGAGGTTTTACACTTTCAGACACCACACCTTGCACCCATTATTCAGCTAAACTGTTATTTCTTCTGTTAAAGAATTCACGTATTGTATCACTAGGATTTGGAAAATAATTTTCTTATGGTGTCAGACTGCCTGATACCCAGTCAAAAAGCACAAGAGAGCCATTGAAATCCATTCAAATTTGGCTTCAGGACAGCAAAACACAAAGGAGGAGAATAAAAAGGAACAGCTGAGCATAGAGAGAGGTGGTTAGTCATGATAAATAGGAAATGAGAACAAACTCTAATTGTCTCTACAGGAAGAAACTTGGTGAAGAGGTTTTGAAAGGGCACAATTTGCTTATCACTGAACTGTTTCAGCACAAGTAGTTTTTACACTTTTTGTAGACATTTACAAGGTCCTAAGCATTGCTCTGCCATGCCATAGCCACCGGCACAAACTGATTTTAAGCATAATTTTACTGAAGCTTTACAGATTTACACCAAAGGATGAATTTGACCTCTTTCATGCTTAGAAACTTACTCTTTCAAGTTGGGTTTTTCTTGACTCTCCGTCAAGCACTATTTAACTTGTTTGCTAGGGACTTGTTAGTTCTGTGGCAGAAGCTGCTAGGAAAGGACCACACTAACCTTATGTGCAGTCATTCCAGTGCCATCTCAAAAGAGACTGTTCCCGCCCTGCCCTGTAAACAAAGTGCCTCTCTGAACAAAGTATTAACATGCAGTATGACTAAAATTCTGGTAAGAGATGGAGAAGATAAATGTTTATAAGGAAAAAGGAACTACAACAATGAACATAAATAAGATATGCAGAATATTCACAGCAGAATATTGAAAATGCAAAGGACAGAGATGTATCTGTGACCTGTTCACTTCTCTCTTAAATGGACACCCAAACAACCAAAGTTTTGGCAGTTCATATGATGTGGGTGCTTGAACAAAGACCCATTTCCTAATGGCACATTCTGTTTTACACAGGACACTGAACTATCACCAGATGCTACAGACCTATTTCAACAGCACATTGTGAGCTTGTAGGTGAAAGACTAAAGAGTCGCTAGGAATTCCCTCACGTCCCCTAACAGTTCAGTCCCAAAAGACCCTGCAGGACATCAGTAGAGGTGGCACGACTGAAATATGCAGGGGAGGTATCTGCATCAGTCCACAAGAGGCTGGCTGATGTGCAAGGGGACTACAAACTTTCTCTCTGAGCAGAATGAGAGTTTGTCAGTGTAATGTTACTCACTTAGTTTGCCAGCACAGTTGATAAGCTTGGGAGTTTGAATCCTCGTATTATTCCTCCATTCTCCCATGAAGACTTCTCTTTCCTGGTTCTATACCACATACTTAATAATTATCTATTTATTCTCTATTTCTTTTTCACACTTTGCAAAATATCTAGTCACTACACCAGAAGCCTAATAAATGAATCTAGACCAGGTCTAGGACAACATCTACAATACAAGCTAACCTACTGCAAAGACCACTGTTGACTTCCGAATCCTGAGCCTTTCACAACAGCAAGGAGACAAACATCAGTGTACTGATACTGTCTCAATATTTGCCTTCTACTGTCATGTGCCCAGTCCAGCACAACCTTGATAGGAACTTCCTTCTTAGGATATGCTTGAGAAAGTCCTCACAGGCTGCCTGCTGATAAAGAGCATGCCAAGACAGGGCAGATGCCAAACTGTGCTAGCCCAAACATAAACTGGTTCCATTGTGCTAGGCACTAAGCAAATTCATAAATCACAGCTCCTCCTGTAAAATACTTCATTTAAAATAAAACAAAAAGTATAGAGTAAGACATAGAAGGGAGGGAGGATACCTAGGGAGACCACAAGCTAGAGCACATCATTGCACAAGTTGGGGACTGTACAGTGCAGTGGTTACAAGTCACTCGAGCATTTACAAAACAATTAAAATTGCAAATTGGCTGATGCCTGGTAGGCAATACAGCACAAGAAGGTCTCAAGAGGGACATGAAGGAGAAAAGTGGTGTTTTATTGGACAACAATTAACGATAAAAGGATCAAGCTGAAAAGTAGTTGCAAGACATTAGTGGGAAAAGCATTCAAACAGAAGGCCAAAACTGGCTTCAGTAAGAGATGCAGATCTGTGAAAAGCCTCAAGTAGATAACTGAACTTGGTGATGGCAAGACTTTTAATGGAGTGACAGTAATACAGACCAAAAAGCTCTGAACGTATGATAGCTACTTGGTCTCCTGAGGAAAACAAATGACGTTTATCACTGAGGTAGTTACAGTGGGATGGGCAGTCGCTTCCTGAACACCAGAAACACAGCTGCCACCTACGCAATTTTCTCAGCAGAGAGCAAACAAATCATGGAGACTGCACGTGGACAGCCATGCTTGTACTGAGGCTGCTCAAACTGTGGTGTTGTGTGGAAAACAGGGAGCTTCTAAGTTCAAAGCTATGAAAATGCTTTCCATCATCAGCAAATTATATTTCAAGAACCTAAAGTAGAAACAGTTACTCTGATACAATGTTATTAGGAAACCTGAGCTAAGCCAGCACAGAAATTTTCCCTCTTTCTCCAGTAGGACCTTCTTTTCCAGCTTGCTGATAAGAGAAAAAAGGCAGGTCTATGGAAACCACACATGGGCCTCAGAGGAACACACAGTCCCTTCCCTGATGCCCAGCCTGTGCGGATAACGCTGCTAGCAATGCAAGGGCCAAGAGCCCCTCCACCTACAGCAAACAAGCACAGGTCTAACAGGGGGAAGTGTATGCAGGACTGTTTCTCTACAAAAACCTGGTTCAGAAGATCAGGACAGGACTCTGACTTAGGGCTGCATGAAAATTATATTGTAACAACACAAAGATGATACTTTTATATTTTAGAATATCAACTCTGAAGTGGATATTAATCATCCCCTACGTTGTGGTAAGATACAGATAAAGTTGATAGACCAGGACAAGTAAGGAGAAAGGACATGAATCTCAGATTGCCCTGCTTCATGTGCAAGACCCTTCCGTGCAAGAGGAGCACTGCCATACTCACGTTTGGTTTTGCAGATGACATGGTCCAGGGCAGGCAAGAGGCAAGTGATTGGAAAATGGGTTGATGGTAGACCAAGAAATAATGGCAATTTGTCACACCCGGGCACTGCAGGGGAGACATCAGTGCATGTCATATTCATGCCTGATTAAGTTCTTGAGCACTGCCTGGTTCATTTTTTTTTTTAAAGCTCTCCTTTGCAATGGCTTTCTGCCTGTTTCCCTGCTACCGAGCCAAACTGTGCTTCAAAAAAATCTCTCACAAATTGTCTCTATTCCCTCTACTGCAGCAGAATTACTTAGACTCACAGCCTCTGGATGGGTATAATGAGACCTTGTCAAGATACTCTGAATTAACTCTAAGTGCTGATAAAAGAAAATCACAGTCAAAAAACCTCCATGACACAATTCCCCTGCTTAGCAATGGCCTGAGGCTATAAATTCTGTTAGCTACTTGATTCACCACAGCTAAACTTGAACTACTGCAGAAAGTTCCTTACTCTTAGGGCCTTTTTGTTTCTGCCAGTTAAAAAATTAGGGCACTGTTATTTTACAAATTCATATTTGAAGTATTTACTAAGATTTAGCTTTATAACATGCATGTTCATATTTTTAAAAAATGCCTTAGGTACATCTATAGCCCTATGCTGCATGTCATAATTACTTTTTAATTTGAAAGAGTAACTCCAGACAGAGAAGGCACGTACGTAGTAGGCTACTTTGGCCCCTCCAAATGACAGGACTGCAAGCAGCACAACTCTGAAGCAAAGGGCACCTGCCACTCCTTGACCATAAGCTCTACTTCTTATGATATTCTCCTTCCTCAGACCCTTCTTACCCAAATAGTACCTATATTAAAGTAACCATTCTTCATGACTTTTTAAATTATTCTCATTGGCACATCATTGTAGCTACTGTGTTCTTCCTTAAGATTTGGAGAATCGGATGTGTATCTGCTTTCCTGCTTTAACAAAGAGTAGACACAAGAATGTGCTGATGAAAATTGACATGCATTTTTGGGCAATACCTTTTTAAATGTAATTCTTCTCTTATTTTGAATTTTTGCTGTGCGTAAACACCAAATGGGCATGCCTTTGCAACTAAGGACAACATTCAATGAATGTGCTGCAAATGTGGCTTCAACATTTTCATATAAATCTCACACAAACCATTAGGAGTAAAGATTTACAGGACACTGGTGCTGGATTTGGCCCCAAGACATTAGTTCATCAGTGTTTAAAGATTTATGCAGTAGAGTCTTAGCGGTACTTATGTGCTGAAGTCCTAACTCTGAGGAGATTTTCATCCTTCAGGTAACTGAGAGCCTCAATTAACTGTCGCTCAGAAAATACAATTTTGACTGTACTGAAGTGTGGAATAGTTCCAGCAGATCGATTAATCAAG